GTTAGTTAGCTGAGCCGTTAATTAGCTCGGCTAAGCCGATCGGCTCACGGCTCTGCAGAGCCGTTTTGCATCACTACATATGGGTAATTATTTTTGGATCCAGACCAAAAATGTTATTGCGTTCATATATAAAATTGGTCCGGGTTCAACCCATATGTAGAAGTAGATCTACTGTTAATTTTTTCTATTTTTGAAACATGCCGTAATTTAATCAAGTCTACTTCTATACATTGGTGTTTAAATTACGGAGGATTTACGGCATTTGGCATAGTGAAATGTTTTTAGTATTTTTGCGATATTATTATAGCAGTATATTTTTAGCTTCCCAACGAACGTTTTGTTAAGAAAATCAACTTGAATCATATTGAATCACCAATACAAGTAGATCTATTAAGGGATTTCAAAATTAAAATCAGAAATCTTATTTTTCCGATTTATAATTCTTAAAACCCCAATTAAGAGTTGAAGTATTGTCTACTGTATAGTAGGAGGTCATAAAAATATTTTGTACTGCTTAATTCGTAAGTTTAACGTTGTTTTTTCCTTTTTCTTATCCATTATTATTTAAATAATTAACACGTTGATTTTACTATAAATTTTATAGGCTGTTTTAAGAAAGTTGTATATTCTCTAGAGGATATTTAATTTAATAGAAGTCGTTTTATATTTACGATGGTATAGTTTTGTAATTATGTAAAAACTTTTTAATAAAGTTTTTATACTTGTAAATTGTTATTATAAGCTAGGTGAATAGTTTTATTCTTCTAAAACGCGACTTATTTTACTTTAAAGTTAAAACTATAAGAGAATCATATGCAGTTTATAAAATTCATGTGCACAATGTGCACAATTTTTTAGTGTGCACAATTTTTTAAATTGGATGTGCACGTGTGCACAAAGATTTTTTTTAATTAACATACAAGTTGTGCACACAATTTTATATACAAATTTTTAAAATGTGCACATGTGCACAAAATTTTTTTTTCAGATTTTATACACTGATCATATGTATACAAATAACTCTCGATATAAAAATCTTCGATATAAGAAACTCTTGATATAAGAAAGCTTTTACAAGTCCCAATTGAGAATTTTATAACAAAAAGCCTTCGATATAAGAAAATCTCGATATAGGAAAGATGAAATTTAAGGGCTTTTTAAGCTCTATATATATATATATATATATATATATTACTAAATAAATTACACTAAATGAATTTTAAATTATTTATTCTCTATACGCTAAAGTATAGTGGCTTCTGAAAGTATACCACTGTTATATACATGTGACTGAAACTTTTAACGGTTTGATAAAACAAAAGTCTAAAACTCTGATTCGTAACTTATGCGAATCCTAAACCCTTACCGAAATCCAAAATTTAGCCAACAAAATTGAAGCTCGGAAGTGAATATTTTTTAAGTTGTCAGTACATTAAACCTATCCCTGAAAAAATATTTAATCACACACACAGTACAATGTGTTTTAGTCGTTTTTGAAAAATATACGCAGCATAGCGAATCTAATAAATTTGGCGGGCTCTTGAGTTTATCACTATTAAACGAAAATAGGGCATATATCCATTATCCAAAATGAAGTAGGAATTCAAATTCTTAAACTCAAACTACATAATTATGTCATCATTTATAATAAGACAATGTTATCGCTTCTCGTTGCTCCAGGCTATCATATTTAAATTAATCACTTGAAAAAAAAAATGATTTGATTAAATATTAAAGAATTTGGCACGGTACCGAAAGTAAGATTTTAAAAAAGAACTGGATAAAAAATAGATAGACCAAAATGTGTCTTTAACTATTCTTATGACTGTTCTTCCTTCACGTCTGGTACCATCTGTCATTTAGAAATAAATTATAAATTATTGGAATTGAAATTGAAATTGCTAAGGGGCATGCCAGATATTAGTTATCAATTTATTATAAAGTTTACTTCCCTAATGAGAAATTTGTCCATTCAAATTGGTTATACGAACACCTAAGTGCACATTTCACTCTATAAGTGCAGTTAACTGAACAAATATTATTATATAAAGCACTTCATTAAGAGGACGTCTGCTTACATTTTCCTTGACTGAAGGTTTTTCAAAAGAAAAAAAATTTAAAGTAATTATTGCAAAACTTTTATTTTAAAATATTCAATTTTATTTATTGTTATCTTTTTTTAAGAATTTCGGCTATTATACAACACTTCGTTTAAAATTTTAATCCTCATAAAGGCTTCAATTAGATTCGACTTTCGACCAAAGATTTAATTTCGGAAATGCTCATCCTGGGCCGAAAATTGATAAAATCCGAAATCAAAACTATGTCCGAAAAATCCAGGAGTTTCGGCCACATGTATACACTGTTATATAAAAAATGACATTTTAGTATATATTTTCTTAGATTTGCAGAATAAGGTTTCCTCGACTTCAGCTAATATTTTGTCGGCTAATATTTTGTGTAGCTGTGATATATCTTCAGAACCTTACTCATAATGCAACTTTATAAAAAATAAAATTTACGCGTTAAACATTAATGCTTGTAAATAATACTTGCTTAAATTCCACATAATCAGAACTTCCTTCAATAATAAAAAGAAATTCTTTGCGAAATTCAATTGCTATATAATTTTTCAAATTTAAAGACGATATTTACTATTTTTACTAGCAGGTTTAGCAATGATGTAATTCAAATGAGATAAAATTGTGATTTAGCGCTCACATGAAAATCAGTTTAACATTTGACGTTAATTATTCCCAAAAATTAGTTTTTAATGAATATCTGCCTGACTTTAATTGACATTAGAAATTCCTTTTATATTTGCATTCTATAAATAAAGGAATTTAAAATCCATACTTACAAATATATGGTGTACATAAATTCGAAAAGTATATTTAATTATATAAAGGCAAATTACTGAAACCAGTTTTCCAATAATTAAAAATAAATACCAAAACAAAATTCATATACACAAAGAAAAATGAACCCAAAATTTCTTTTTGCATTTATTTTATTGGTTACGCTTTCTGTTGCCCATGCTATTCGATTAGAGAAAAGAGGCACAAAGTTTACTCAATGTGCCGGTGAAAAAGATTCTAAACAAGTGTCTTCTCTCCAAGTAACAGTTTCACCTGATCCTTTGAAACTTAAACAAAATGCTGTATTTACTGTGTCCGGAAAAACAGATATTGATATTAAGGATGGGGATGGATTCGTTTTTATTAACTTTTTTAATAAAAAGAATGAGGAAAAAGGCTTCAATTTCATTAAAATTCCTAAAACCAAGGCTGGCGATTCATTTAAAGTAAGCGGAAAAGTTTCCGTGCCAGAGTCAAAAAAAGACATGGACACTTTAACTGTTAAAGTTTTTAATTATCAAGATGATGTTAAGAAGACACTTTTAGCCTGTGCAAAGGCAAGCCCTTAAAATGTTAATTTCTATTGCCAATTAACCTATTATATTCATATTGCTATATTTCTTCTTCATGTCATTAAATTATAAATTTAATTTATATAAATAATAATTAGTTCAACATTTAGTTAGTACTTTTTGATTTTAACTTAGAGAATTCCCAAGATGCTACTTTTTTGATTTTTTTATATACAGTATGCATTTTCATTTGTTTCTCTGCAATTGTTGTCTCTCTTACAACAGTGCTTCAAATATTTTATTGAGTTTGTGCTTAATTTTTTTAATAGTGTCAGAAATGGGTCAACATTAATATTAATATTAATATATAGTTATTAGACGAAACGTTAATGTTTCGTATTGGAGAAAGTCTGAAACTAGTTTCAACTTTTGCCAAAAGATTTTTGAAAAACAGAAAGGTGAATCTGAAGAACTAATAAAAGGTGGTAAAAAAAAGTGAAGATGAAAAGTGGTAAAACTTACAATCTAAAATAAAAGTTAATATTTACTATCAAATTTAACTTATGAAGTCGCTTCTCTCTATACCGAGCTTGGGTTGTTCTTGTGATTTTATTCGTTACCATTATCGAATGAACTTGAAGGCTCAATATAATAAACCATATTTGCTCACATGATTAAGATGGAATTTCTATTTAACTGAGTCATTATATTTCAAAATATCGGTGGCCATTAAATTACTTTGATCAAAATCTTTGAAAACCTAGTTATTACTAGGGATCGTCACGACTCGACTAGTTCGCAAGTTTCGTGACTTGCTCAAATTTTTGAATGCCTCAAGGTTTGATTTTATCCCTATTAATTCCACCGACTCAACTGCTCAGAGCCTACTCACTCAAAGCTTGACTGTGTCAACCAAGCCATGCCTATTTCTAGCTGTTACCTTTAATAAATTCTCGTCTGTATATAAAGGATCCTTCGTGGCATAATAAATCATCTACGTAACCACGATGAAATCGCATTTCTGCTCAGTATTATAATTTACTATTAATTTAAATAAGAAAAAACAACGAAAGCGATGCATAAATATAAATAGCGCCAGGGCAGGGGATCGATTTTCTGTTCACGTGATTTCAGAGATGATCTCAGTATCTGGTGTAACGTAAAATTTCAAAACAAACATTCGAAGTTTATTTGTTATCTCAAAACTTATATTATTAAATCGCCTTTTGGGTTCTAACAAAAAAAAAAATCCTCGCGCAATTTTACCGGCCCCTAATATAAATGAGTTTTTGTTCGAAGACAATTGATCTCGGAAAATCACATGATCGGAATTCGTCATTTCATAAAAATTAGTAGGTTAGATATAGGATAACTTTCTCGTGATTGGTCGATCACACAAATTGAATATCGTGTCATGATTGGTCACTTTGCAGA